AGCATAACACAACCATTGCACTTAATTACGTACGTGTTATACGATCCAGGGGCGAAGGAAGAAATACTCGGCCGACCGGGCCCCCTCCAGTCCAGACGCACACACACACACACACTCCTGATTCGATCCTATTAGATTCTTTAACTATATATTTTTTTAAGTCATGCATTTGTATGATAAATAGTTTAGAAAGTAATTATCATATTGTAAATCATAAACGTTAAAGTGATATATATTGTTTCATTCTGTACAATTAAATAGGTCGTTGTCCATCATATGCAATAGCAGCCGGAACGAAATATTCCGCTCTGAGTTTCTATGTGCTTTTTACATCGGCGGACATAACGGAAATGGCCCAACTGTCGTCTTTCTTATGACTGGGACATATTTTCTGATTTGCTGTAGCATTAATTTGGGAATTATAGAACAAGATATACAGAGCAATGAATCATCTATTCACAAAGGTAATGTATTATTATTATTATTTTTTATTTAAACGTATATGCTGAGCATACCGTATAATCAAGACTAACGGAAAAGGTCAAATAGATCGCATGGTAATATTTATGCATTGATATGCCTCGATATATAGATACAATGCAGAAATTACATTTCCTTAGATTTCTTTTTCTACGTTGTTTTGGGGATTTTCGCCCTGCTGCGTTAAATGTCACGTAGTCGTACATGTACAGTGGATAACCAGACCATTTCAACTAAACATTTGAATTCATGTTTTTAAACTAAGCTAATTTGTGATTTATTCTTTTCTTTCCAGTTACTGATTTCATTTTCGCAACAAACATGCCGGAAAGGATTCTTATTTGGGTAACACAATTTTAGAAATCAGAAAAGCTGCACTTTTTAGTTGCATCCTTAATAAGCTTGGTAGCCAGTGTTAATCCAGAATTAAACAAAAGCATTATGTAATTTACCCTCAGACGTTTTGTCACTTTTCAATGGCTATTGGTGAAATATGATGCAATAAAATGTTTCCACTGCTATGCACAATCTATTTGAAACTGTATTTGCAAGGCAGAGTTTGTTGTAAAATTCTATGTTGTGGGAAAATCAGGAGTGTTATCAGACAAATATTTGGTGGAAATACAGTACATGTCATTTCAACACAGATAACACCTTGTGCACTCTGAAGTGAAAATAATATGCAATAATATCCATCTAAATGCATTGGGAAAGACAGATGGGAACAGGTTGGGAAGAATGGATGGACTGCAGTCTAGGGAAATTCTTGTTTTCCAAAAGATGTGTATCTCGGACAAATTCAAATTTCAAAGCATCAGTAAAATAGCCTTAAACAAAAATATACAAATCTAAGTGCTGCAATTATGAATATTGGTGGGAAGACTGGGTGAATACTGCATGATTCAGATGTTCAAAGTTACCATACACTTACCCAAAAGACTCATGATTGTAATATTTTGTGGAGACATTAACTGTTATCTCATGACAAAACCATCTGCTGTTTATAATCTGTTAGGTATGTCTTTTTGTAATCAGTGCAGCATCTCTTTAGCCTCATGTTTTTGTTTTGTAAGGGCTGTGGTCTCAAAACAACATCCACTCCTTGGTAAGAACTCTTCCCCATTCTGATTTTCTGATTAAAATGATCCAGTGTGTAATTTTTAAATGTGTGAATGGATATATTGACAGTTCTGGAGTTTGCAGAGAAACATGAGTTTATATTAGCAATCTTCTGCTTCTGAATTGCCGGAACAATCTGAGTTTTCCTTTCCCCTCAACAGGGAGTCTGTTGCCCAGTGATGGGAGGGAGTACAAGTCCATGCCAACCCATGGGATTGGACGATATTCTCACCTAATACCAAGAAATACGGCAAGACCCAGTTTATATGGTTTATTTTATTAAAACACGCTATATATGTAGGGAACTTGTTATAGATACAGCAGCAAATCCTCTCATGGGATTATATCTGCTGGACCAATTATTACCATATTGAATATGTATAAGGATATACTGTAGGCCTTGAGGTCATTCCAGACAGTGTGAGAACCATTAGCTGTTTGACTGTACTACTATAGTACTATGAAGTAGGGCTGGGCAATTCATTGAAAATTAATCAAAGCTGAAATTCCGAACCTCTAATCGATGTAATCTTGCCCATGCCAGATACTTCATTTTTTTTATTCTATTAATGCTTAAAATAAAATCTGTCAATACTTTCCTCAGTGTGTGTTCATATACTGTCCCCTTAAAAACATACTACTGTGTATTTTGTCACATGACTTGCCGACTGGTCAACTCAAGCAGTTTGTGCCAAGGAAAAATGCTGTATAACCCGTTTGCTTCTGGCTAGCTACCTGAGGTTAATACTGCATGCAGAGCAAACATGACGGGAAAAAGAAAGTAATTTTCTTCTCAATGACAGATATAGACTTATCAAAGTTTATGATAAACTGCCAAAAACAAGCCAACGAGATGCAGCAGCAAAACTACATTAAATTAAGTTTTACCTAGTCTCATACTGTATTGTAGCATATTTGAATTATACACAGTTCGGTAATTTAATTTGTACGGTACTATACTTTGAAAAGCGTTTGAAACAGCTGTACTATATTTTGAAAGACTCAATAAAATTCAATAAATAGTGACACTGTCCTTTTTATTACCTTATATGGATGTAATAAATATACAGATGTCAATTAGATGGAAGTCTGCCAGAGACATAAAGAAAAAGGAAAAAAAAATAATGATCATCAACTTATAGTGATCAATTTCACCCAGACAGATGTGATAATTAGTATAAATGGTTTCCACTAGGGATGCTCCTTTTGACCGTTTAACCGTTAACCGAAATAATTAATTTTGACCGAATATTACTATCAGTTAAACGGTTTAAAATGTTTTTATATATATTTTAATTATTAGTAGTAGTAGTTTTGTGGCATCTCAGCTGAAGATCGCTTTTCACGTTCTAAATACACTGGATTTGAATCGGCGACTGTGATTACAGGCACACAGGCTTAGCCCACTGAGCCATGAACACAGGTACAAGCTTTGCTGCTGAAAATGGAAACATTGGCGCAAAGCTTCAGCGGCAGAGACGTATCCGTGTGCTATATT